AAGCTCATACAGTTGGCCTCAGCCTATTGATAGTCCTAAAGATGCACTCCTGACCTGTAGCTTTTCCTCCAGCAGATTAGAAGCAAGTATCTGTTACTACTTATAAAATATTAGTATTTTTATTTGTGAACAGGAAGACTACGTATTTAAAAGACTGATCTGTAGAGGACTTGAATTTGTTCCTTCTAGTTCTTGAACAACCAGATCCTCTTCATTAGGTGAGTAATAATGAGAAGACTGGATATATGTCATTTTTATGACATATGAAACTGCACTGTAGCAGTGTAGTGCAGAACAACAACAAATGTCCCTCAAAGAATCAACTCAAAAAAAAATAAGCATGTTCAGAATCTTAATGAAATCCTTTCTTTTAAAAAACAGACATCTCACCCCCCCAAAAAAAAACCAACCAAAAACCAGTAGATAAAAAAACCACTACCAAACTTGAAGATATTTGCAAAGATGAGATCAACATTTTGAAGATTTCCTACACAGGACAACTTAGATAATATCTGTTTGCATCTTATTTAAGTGAGTAGTTTACACACAGCTGGCAAAAGCGTGCAGCAATCAGACATTACTGTCACAGATGACAGTCCTTAATATCTTCAGTTTGATAACATAGAGGGTACAATAAGGGGCATGGCTTCACATCATCACTCTGAATGCTGATAGCAGACAAATTACAAACTGCTGTTTGACAGTAATTGTTGAAAATGCAGAGTAATAAAGTAAATTTCTTTCTATGCCTTATTTTCTTCATCTGAGCATATGCTGTGTGCTTATTCTGAACATTTAACTTTATGCAGTTTAATTGCTGTAAAGCTCTTACAAGTTAACTTGTGTTTGTGGAGCTTATTTTTGTTTGTGGAAGGCTCAGAATTTGAGCCTTGGGGAATGTGGAGACATATTTTCAAAGTTAAGTAGAGATTCTTATGCTGAGAAACTTATACTGTTTCTAACTCAGGAAAAATATACATGATTATGAAATAAATATTCAGAACAGAATGAAGAGTTAATCTCTGTTGATTTCTATGAGAAAATAATACTAATAATACCTGTTTCTTTCAGGCTGGGCCATTAACCAAAGTGACGATTTGTACGAACAAGGGAGGAAAATCTAAGTCTTTTGGATTAGTCTGCTTTAAGCACAAAGAATCAGTGCCTTATGCAATAGCTTTGCTGAATGGAATCCGTTTGTATGGAAGACCAATTAAAGTGCAGTATCGTCTTGGTAAGTTTAGTAGTCTCAATTATTAACTTTAAGTCTTTGTAAACTTCTGACTTTTTAAATGACTGTTTTTGAATCCTAGAGTCTTTTACAAAGATGGCGATTGGTAGTTGAACAAATTACAGTCTATTCCTTTTAAGAAACAAAACCTTCTTGTGGCTTTTGCATAGGAAAGGATTCAATCTTTTTTATTTTTTTTTTAAGAGAATACAATTGGTTGGTTCAGAACAGCTGAATATAAAAGCCAGCTCAACCCACACAATGGAAAACATAGCAAGAGAGCTTTTCAGTCCAGATTACATTTAGGAATCAGAATGTGATTTTAACTTGCAGCCTGGCAGAAAAATTTGATTCAGCAAATGTAGCATCTACCAAGCTGTTTGATAGTTTTTATACTAAAGTCACAGAGTTATCAGAGCTGTTGTTTTAAGTGGAAGGAATTGTAGCTCAAAGAATATAGTTAAATCAGAGTCATGTTCTTCATTTTATCTTTATGAAAATAAACCTTCTGGGAAGCTAATGATCATGGAGAGTTTGCAACCCAAACTTTAAGGACTCATATTCCCACTATGCACTGTGCTGTTCCTTACTTCAAGGGCTGTGCAGAGCAGTTGCTGAGTTTAAGTAGAATGGCTGAGGTTCTTAAAATCAGAAGTGTCTCCTGTGTCTGTAACTGAATGGGAATTACTCTGTTCTTTATTATTTTCAACAGCCCTGATTTATGCTTCTGTTAGTGACTAAATGATAAATGAATGCTTTCAAGCGGTAAAATGATGCTATAAATTATCTGGAATAAAATGGCACCTTACCTTCATATACTAGCTTAGATACACTAGGACATACAGATGACACAGCAGACTTTCTATGTTTTTGCTTTGTTAATTGAGTAATCTATAACTTAATAGTCATTATGCTCTTGTCTTCTTTACAGGGAGTTCTTACTCACCAGAACTAAACAGCCCTACATGTGGTTTTGAGAATTCTAATGACTTATATTCACCTTCATATAGGTAACAAAGATAACCTGTTAATGAATTGAATTATTATAATTTAAAAAACCCCAACTTATTAAGCGGAGTAGTTCATGTGGTACAGCAATCTTTAGGCTTTTCATTGAAACAGTTGTTGCATGCTTTAATTTCATCCTTATCAATGACTTGCAATGGACTCTAGTTAATGTTAACATTTCTTGTTTAGCTTGCCAGAGGTTTAGTTAGCTTAAATTTTCCATTCTTTATTTGTTTCTGCAAGATACAGGACCATGAGAAAATACTGAAATATGGTGTTTGTACTAACAATGTTTGAAGTTGTTAGGGGAAAAAAATCTGACAATGGAGATAATCTTTTTGAACCCCACTGAGTTTATGTATGTATTTTTTGCATCTGTATGTATAAGCAGCTGCCACATACATATGAATGCACAGGTATAAATCGTTATAATGAAAGTCTGGACACCCCAGATTCAGTATTTTTCAGTGTTTCATATTTTTATTTACAAATGTGACAGAACTCTCTGTGGAAGCTGAACTCCCATGCCGAAATCCAGAAATCTGTGTCTACACTCAAGGACATGTGGGGTTTACTCATTAATTGAACCTTTGAATGTATTACCCTTGTTGTATCTTTTTGTTCTCATGGAAGTCCAGTTGCTAATATCTTAATTCTGCTTTTGGACATACTCATTACAGCTCAAGAGTTAAGTCTCTGCATTTTGGTGAGCGGTATTTGGTGGGCAGCTAATCTTTGTATGTTTGTTTCTTCTTCCTAGGTATCAAGAGCCTTATGGAAATCCTCCATTTCCTGTTACTCCTTTTCCAATGAGCAATAGTTTACCTCACGAATACTCAGGTTTTCAAAAGATGGTGAGTTGGTGTTCAAAGTGAAAAATCTGGGAGTTTTTTAATGAAGTTGAAGGTGTTCTATATTTCTGCAAACAACAGTGCTTATTTAAAGTCTCAGAATGTGGTTTAGGCTGCTAGCTTTGACTGTATTAGATCTGTTTATTTTAGCACTTAAAGGTACGATAATAACAGGGGATCTACCAAACCAAACTATTTTCTGACTGCAGGGATGTCTTGAAAGTCTTTTTAGCTTAGGGAGGCTAAAAGTGCCAGTCTGCAGACAGAGCTTCTCCTGTTCTGTGTTCCAGATCAAATCTGCTTGGTGAAGCAAGCTAACCTAGTAAAATTACAACCATGCAAGAAATAGCTTCTTCATTTACAGGTAATTCAGTGAGGGAGCCTCTTGGCTCTTTAGCTCAATTCAGAACTGCCCAGCAGAAGTTTGAAATGTCCCAAAACCAAATGTAAAACTTCCCCAACAGACCACCACTGCCCAAGTTAGGGCAACAACAGTTTGAGGGTTTCTGGTGTGAACAGTTAAGTGCCTCTGCAGTTCTCACATTCATGATTTACTTTCACAGCAGTAAGCAGCAGACCCCTCTAACTCTGGCATACTGGCCCATTCTTGTCCTATTCTCTTTTGTCTGAGATATTCTACAAGGCAAGGGACAAACACATTATGAAGCTTCTGAATCTGATGAGTATAGATCAGTAGGACTGAAGAATCCCAGCATTTGATGGGAGGTACCAACCGTGGACAGTACTGCTGCCACCCAGCGTGACTGGGGAGTGGCCAGCCCTTTGCAACTGTAGAAGGGGTGAAGTTTGGATAGATCACTCTTGTTGGCTGCAATCTGAGCAGGAAAGTGGAGAGGGTCTGTTCCCTGTAGCACTGGTGTGGTGGTGGCCTGCTGCCCCTCTTCCCAGGCTTTGCCCTCAGAAGATCTGGTGCTCACACTAACTTTCCCATCCCCTCCACTGTGATTGGAAGGCCTGGGAGTGTACCATCTCCCCAGCTGTTCTCGCAGGTGAACCCACTCCTCAGTAACAGTGCAGTATGTAAACACCAAGAGACCAAACTGCATTGTTCCACATTAACTTTAAAATTAGTTAAACCAGGTTAAAAAAATTACAGATATGCATGTCTTTACATTAACAATAGGCACTTCAGTTACAAATGTTTATAAAATACAGAGATGAAGAAATGAGAGAAATGCCATGTTTTATTACCTTACACAAGGACTAACTGGCAGTTTAATCTTAAATCTGATTACTTCTCCATTCTAACTTTGCCATGAAAGATTGTCTACTTTTTCTGTCTGATACAATAAAATAGATAAGCTTTAGTGTCAAACCTTCTATGTTATCTTATTTTATAATTTATCAATATTTTCACTGTATAATGTAAGTTGTAATGCACACAAAATTAAATTCTTCGGAAATTCCTCTTTACAGTGTTAGCAACTCAAGTTTCTATTTCTCTAGGTGAACCATTTTTTAGCACCACAGTACACAGTACAGAGTCCAATGGGTCAACAATTTCCTTACTATCATATGACTCTGCCACTGCCTTCAAATTTACCCTCTTCTTCCCATCAGAATGAAGCTGCAAGTTCTAAGTCTGCACAGAATTCTTCTGAATTGGCCCTGCCACATTCAAGTGACTGTGAAGTGCATCAGGTGGATGAAAGCACCTTTAAAAGAAAGAGAAAACAGCAAAGATGTGACGGTGACACTGGTGGTGATGATGACAAAGTGAGAAAAAGAAAGCGCGACCGAAAACGCAAGAAGCGCAAAGCCAAGAAGAAGAGGCGTTAATACTGAGGCATTAACAACTGGATTAATCTCATTTTATTATATTTGCTATTTTATTTGAGAGAAATTCAATATTTAATGTTTGCACTTTATTAAAAAAGGAATGTTCAGATTTATATTATTTTTGAAATATGTTATGCATAAAGTATGCTGATACTTTATTTAATCTCAACTTATTTAAAGAGGAAAGTACTATTTAAGGTATAGGAAGCATTTAAGAAAATAAAGTGTTCCTAATAAAGAAAAAAACTAGTTGGTTCCCTCTTTTCATCAAGACTCACAGAAGGCTATTATTTCCCTAATATAGAAACTTTATGAAAACACATCATTTCAGCATCTCACGAAGTATATGTGTCACATCGCTTACGGAATGTATTTTTTTGAATCATGTAAGAATTTTCTGGAGCCATGGAAGAAAGGAACAGGCTAGAAATTCTAAGCATCACATCAGAGATGCACTCGTCACTGAAGTATCAACACCTATAACTTTTTTCTGATTTAGGTCTGTTGTTACATTCAGTTAGGATTACTTTGTATGGTTATTGGAACTGCTTTTTTCCAGTGGTAACTTTGAGGTGAAATGTGGACATTTGCACTGACTATGAGACTCACATATGTATCAATATTCAAATGAATGTATGTACTTTATGGCTGCAGTATGTACTGACTACATGCATATATATGCATCTTTCTATAAAGTTACTCTGGTAACTTTGCAATTGTTACAATGAACATTTCTATTCTCAAATAAGCAAAAATCACAGAATCACAGAATCGCTCAGTTGGAAAAGACCTCTGAGATCATCATGTCCAACCGCTCCTGTCTACCCACTAAACCATATCCCTAAGTACCTCGTCTACCCGCTCTTTAAATACATCCAGGGATGGTGACTCCACCACCTCCCTGGGCAGCCTGTTCCAGCCTCTGACAACCCTCTCAGTAAAGAACTTCCTCCTTATCTCTAACCTGAACCTCCCTTGGCACAGCTTGGTGCTGTTTCCCCTTGTTCTATCCTCCATCACGTGGAAGAAGAGACCAGCACCCACCTCTCTACAACCTCCCTTTAGGTAGTTGTAGGTGGTGATGAGGTCTCCCCTCAGCCTTCTCTTCTCCAGGCTAAACAATCCCAGTTCCCT